TTTTTTTTTTTTTTTTTTACTAAGGTAAAATTCATATAACATAAAATTAACCATTGTAAAGTATACAGTTCGGTGGCATTTAGTGCACTCACAATGTTGTGCAGTCATTCAAAGTATTTTGTTTCTGATATTTTATTTTTATTTGAGTGACAGAGAGAGAGAGCAAGCAGGGGAGAGGGGCAGAGGCAGAGAGAATCCACACTCAGCGCGGAGCCTGACACGGGGCTCAATCCCAGGACCCTGGGATCATGACCTGAGCCCAAATCAAGAGCCGGATGCTCAACCAACTGAGCCACCCAGGTACCCCTGCTTCTGACATTTTTAATAATTCACTTCTTACTGGCTTCTTGGGGTTTTTTGTCGCAAAGTTCTTGGCCCTTCTGCTCCCTTGCAATTGGAGCTTTTCTTTCCAGACTGAACTTGGAGCCCGTGATACCAACCGGATCTCATCAGCACCCTCAACCTGTTTCAAACACCTGCTCTCAACACCCGCCCCCACCCAGCCCCCGGCTCTGTCCACCCACCACCCTGAGCGCCCTGCTCCAACACAGGGCCAGGGAGCGCTGCCAGAGAAAAATCACACAACCACATGCATTCATTCATTCACTCATTCATTCACTCATTCATTCAACAAATGCTTTTTAACACCTGCTACGTGCCAACACTGCGGGGCACTGGGTACACATTTGGGGCCACTGCCAGTTTATGGTCTCTAACCTCGGCTGGGCCCTCAATTCCTGATGACCCTTCGTCCCTCTCTGTGTTCCTGGTCACCTCCCTCTCGGGCTCAAGTCCCACTGACTACATTCCAAACCTTCCTCACGCTCATAGCGAACAACCTTCTGTGGTTCATGGAGATGAGGCTAACGGGAACGAATGATTTCAATTTCCCGCCTCCTCCCCACGAACACGGACATCGATCCCGATTCTCTGTACAGCCAAGGTCAAGCTGCCTTCTCCCGTCCAAAGCTCATCCCGCCCCCTGTGCTCAGATCTCTCCCCTCCCAAGTCCTCTGAGACCCTGATTCATCAAACCACCACACCCCCCCCGAACTTCAACCGTTGCCCCTCTCTACTGGTTCTTCCTCCAAGGTCCGTAAACCCTCACAAGTCGCTTCTATTCAAGGAAGGAAGGACACCGGAGAAAAGACACTCTTCCACATGAAGCAAATCCCTATTCATTTCCTCCTTACCATTTCACTTTTACTGCGCTGTTATTTTCCAAGTTATATGTGCACACAGCTTAGGAAGTCGGGTGCAACAAGGCCTATATCCCTTCCCTCTCCGGCTCCTTTCTCCTCACGGGCAACCGCTTGCACCCCCTTCGGATGTTTCTTTCGGTATTCACCTCCAGATCTCCAAACAATGTGCTTCTGTTGCTACTTCTTGATTTGTAAGCATCACCTACCGGCGTCCCAGCACACGAGGTGGAGACTGAGCTCCCGTCTGCCCCTCCCCCCCGCCGGGGAACCCTCGCCATCCTGCCCGGGCATCCCATCCTCGGGGGGGGGGGGGGGGGGGGGGGGGGGGGGGGTTGCGTCAATACTCAATATTTCCATTGTTATGCTCACACACCCGTCATCTACGGTTGTCACGCGCGGGATATCGATGATCTCTCTCTTCTAGTTTCCCCTGAATAACTATCATTTCAAGAATCTGCTTTTTCTCTGAATTCATCACTAAGGCTGCCCTGTACTCTCCCCGCAAAAGTCTATATATCCTCTCAGAACGTGCAACACAAAACAGACGCTATCTCTTCCCCCTCCATGAAGACAGCCTTCCAGAAGCCTCCTTCACCTGCTCCGGGCTGAGCGGGCCATTCTCCATGCCCGTCACCCTGGACTTCCCCTCAGCTGGTGTTCCTGTTTGCGCCTCTCCCGTGTTGAAGGCCTTCCCCACGACCTGGATCCCGTATCTTCCTCTTCCACGTCTTCTTCTAGATACCTCCTGAGAAAGGGAACTGGGTAGAGAACTTTGAGACCTTAAGGTCTTTATTCCATCTTCAGTCTGGCTGTTGTGAGGCCCACGACTCCCCTAACATGTTCAAGAACGGTAGCTGGCCACCTGGGGAAGGACTGGATTTCCTAGAAACCAGGAGCCGGGTGAGGCCGTCTGACTGTCTTCTTCAGTGGAATGTGAGTAGAAACGATCTGGGCTGCTTCTTAGTCAGACCTCTGAGCCGGGTGCACCCCCCTCCCCACTTCTTCTTGCCCCTCGCTGCCGGCTACGACCCAGGGACATCAGCAGCCCAGTTGTGACAGGGCAGATGGCGAAGCCCCAGAGCAGTAGGGCCCCTCAGATGTCACTGTGCACACACATCCCCTGAGCACCTTCAAACACAGATACTGATTCTGAAGTTCTGTGGTTGGGGAGGGGCGGGGGGAGGGTGCCCGGGCGGCTCAGTCAGTTGAGTGTCCAACTCTTGGTTTTGACTCAAGTCATGATTTCACGGTTTGTGGGTTCGAGCCCCACCTCGGGCTCTGTGCTGGTGATGCAGAGCCTGCTTGGGATTCTCTCTCTCTCCCTGTCTCCCTCTCAAAATAAGTAAATAAACTTACCAAAAAAAAAAAAACGGGGGCTTGGGTGGTTTCATAGTCGGTTATATCTGACTTTCGCTCAGGTCATGATCTCACGGTCCATGAGTTCAAGCCCCACGTCAGGCTCTGTGCTGACAGCTCGGAGCCTGGAGCCTGCTTCGGATTCTGTGCTCCTCTCTCTCTGCCCCTCCCCTGCTCACACTGTCTCTCAAAAACAAAACAAAACAAAACTCTGTGCTTGGGCCTGAGATCTGCATTCCTAACAACACCATCAGCACTGCTGGCCTGCAGACCACACTGTGGGATACACAGTGGCAGAGTTGCAGGGCTGGCCTTGATCTTCGGATGATCCGTGGAGTGTGCTGAACTACTCACACTGCACCGTTCTCTGGGGAAAAATGAAGTTTTGTTTTGTTGTGTCATTGCATTCTTAGCCTCTATCTTAGTGCAGCTGGAGGACAGAATCCCAGATTGGAACAGCTCAGTACGTAAACCTTCACTTATTCTCACTTTCCTTGTTTTGTTTTATTTTTTTTTTAAGTTTATTATTTTTTTTTTTTTTACACTTCTCCATTTAAGTAATCTCTACACCCAACATGGGGCTCAAACTCTCTACCCAGAGATCAAGAGTCGTGCACTCTTCCAAATGAGCCAGGCAGGCGCCCCTGATCTTGTTTTTCAATACAACTGTGCCCTGGGCGCCTTCCAGAACCAAAGACCCTCTGTTTCCATCTTCAACAAAGAAACCTCCAGTAACGGGATGGGGTTGAGGACCTGCAGAGATGTATGCAGTAAGGAAAAGACTGGGCAGGAGGTGGGGGTCCTAACTACCTCAAATAACCCGCTTCACTTTAGTAGCACCGGTACCCCAGTTGTGCATGATGATACCATTAATTTAAGAGTGAATCAAGTTGCAGGGCGCCTGGGTGGCTCAGTCGGTAAAGCGTCTGACTTCTGCTCAGGTCATGATCTCGCGGCTCATGAGTTCCAGCCCCGTGTCAGGCCCTGTGCTGACAGCTCAGAGCCCACTTTGGATCCTCTGTCCCCCTCTCTCTCTGCCCCTCCCCTGCTCATGCTCGCTCTCTCTCTCTCCCTCTCAAAAAAATAAACATTGGGGTGCCTGGGTGGCTCGGTCGGTTAAGCGTCCGACTTCTGCTCGTGATCTCAAGGTTCCTGTGCGTGGGGCTCTGCGCTGACATCTCAGAGCCTGGAGCCTGCTTCAGATTCTGTGTCTCCCTCTCTCTCTCTCTGCCCCTCCCCAAGTCGCACTCTGTCTCTCTCTCAAAAATAAGCAAACATTAAAAAATTTACTAAAAAGAGTGAATCAAGTTGCTTTTGGGTTTTCTTTACTGCCGGCTTAATTACCACTTCACTACTAAATCGGTTACCACTTATCCTGTTTTCCAACTTCTATCTAAAGTTTTGCTATTAGTTCCCCTCTCTCTTTGACCCCTTAAAGCGATCCTCCTTGTTATTTCATTAGGATTTTAAAAAGGAGTGGAGTTGAATGCCGGATCCCCGAGTTGATCTGAAAGTCTCCATTTGCTAACCCCGTGTGAACTAGCTTCATTCTGAACCTTCCATAGGCCGTCGAGGTGGATCTTTCCAAAAAAGGTAAACCTGGTCATAACCCACTTCTCGGAGATCCTTTAAGGGCTCCCAAGTGCTTTCCGAACAAAGTCCAAATTACTCAGCCTGCAAGCCGCCTTCTCCTGATCCGGCTCCCACTTCAGTCTGGCCGCTGCCACACTCCACTCACTGGGGCCGAGCCGAACGCCTTGCTGTACTTGGGCTGGGCCGGGCAGGCCCCTTCTCAGCACCATGCACCTGCCGCGCTGATCCCCTTTTCCATCCAACCTCCCAGTCACCGGGTTAATTAACCCCTAAGACCCGATTCTGGCAAGGCTGCACCCCAAAATCCTCGCTCTGTGCTCCCGAAGGGGCACCCTGAGCGTGCCTCTCGGCAAACATCGACCTCACTGTCACGTGGGGCTCCATCCCCTTCACCTCCGGACCCCCAGACCCCACCGCGTAATAGGGAAGCGGAAAGGGGGAAAGGCTGAGATTGCCAAGCCTGTGCTTCAGTGGGGCTGCAGCTCAGGAGGAAGCGCTAGGACGAACAACGCAACACTCACCAAGTCAGGCTCTGCCCCGGCCTCGCCGGACGCCGACAGAGCCCACGGCCGTCCAGTCCGGAGGGACACCCCAGAGCTGCCGCCATCGCCACCCGGCACCAGCAGACGCGCGATAAATTCTCATAGAAGAAATCAAATAGATACCCCAGGGCAGTGTCGCGAAAGCGGACAGGTCTGAATGACCTCAGTCCAAGGAATGAAATGTTTCACCACCGCCTCTTACCACAGGTGGTCGCGAGGTGGCGGCGGCGGCGCAGACCGGGGCGTGCGCACGGCACCCTGGGAGTTGTAGTTCACCGGGTGACTACCCCGCCCCAGCAAGGCGAGGCTGCGCTGAGCATCCTGGGAATTGTAGTCTCAGCTAGAGAGCGACCTGCGCAGGCGCAAGCTGACAGCCACTTCCGGGCTCGAGCGTCGAGTTTCGCCGAAGAAGAAAACCCCGCGGAGGAGTCCCGGAGTGACCATGGCGACCTACAGCCTGGCGAACGAGAGGCTGCGCGCCCTGGAAGACATCGAGCGGGAAATCGGCGCCATTCTCCAGAATGCAGGTTCGGGACGCGACGGCGGTACTTGCGCCGCCCTGCGCCACGCAGTGGGGACGGGAGGGAGCCCGAGTGCTCGCGCTGCGGGGCGGGTCCCGGGGCGGGTCCCGGGGCGGGGCAGCACCCGGCCAGCCCCGCCCTCTCTCCGCCCCGCAGGTACCGTGATCCTGGAATTGTCCAAGGAGAAAAGCAACGAGCGGCTCTTGGACCGGCAGGCGGCGGCCTTCACGGCGTCGGTGCAGCACGTGGAAGCGGAGCTGTCGGCTCAGATCCGCTACCTCACCCAGGTGTGTGTGCTGGGAGGTCCTGCGCGCCCACCCGGCCCTCTGCCTAAGCGTTAGCCTTCGGGGATCGTTGACCTTTGGAGCCAGATGGGACTTGGCCGTCCACACTGGCACCACCCACGACCCAGCCGGATGACCCTTGGCAGAACCTCCCCTCTCCAGGGCTGGCTTCTCCTTCTAAAAAGAAAGTCCTGAAGGCAGGCCCGCCTGCCTCACTGCTCTGCATCACATGAGCTACTGGGACAGGGAATTCCCAAGGACTTGTAAACAATGCCAAACCCACAGGACTTTGCACTTAGGAACTTGACCTGACCTCGTGGGTTTGAAGTGGTTACGTGGAGAAAAGGGACAGGGTCGAGAGGGTTCTGAAGTCATTACAACAGCAACAACCATTTGCTAAGATTTTGCAGCATGCCAGACGCTGCGTTATCTATTCCTACAACAGCTCTAGGAAGTAGTTGTTGTTACCCACATTTTACAGATGAGGTTAAGAGAAGTTAAGTGATTTACCCAAGGTCACCCAGCCACCGCCCATGTGCCATAATGGATTCACACTCAAGGAAGAAAATGATACAGGAGACCGGATGCTTGGGTGGGGAGATGGGGAAGGGAAGGGGTGCTTCACCGATCAATGTGAATGTCCCCTAGGTGGCCACGGGGCAGCCCCATGAGGGTTCCAGCTACTCTTCGAGGAAGGACTGTCAGATGGCCCTGAAGCGAGTGGACTACGCTCGCCTCAAGCTCAGTGATGTGGCCCGAACCTGTGAGCAGATGCTGGAAAACTAGGCCAAGCAGGTGGAGTGAGAGCTCGGAGGAGGACCCGGGACAGGGCCTGTCCTCACCCGGGACAGAACCCAGACACCTGTGCAAGGGGTAGTGTGGGCCGCCACATACACGCCCTGCTGGCCAGAGGATATGGGGACAAAGGGACTGAAAGTGGGGGGTGGAGAAACTTGGCAGACCAAGCCTGCCACAACTCTGCCCTGGTTCCTGCTCCTGCCCTCCACGAAAGTGCTGGCGAGCTCAGACAGACAGAGATTCAGACACCAAACCCACTTCCTCCAACACCGTGTGACCCTGTCGCAGGCCTCTGCAGACGGGACCAATGAAGACACGTTCTTCATTGAAAGAAGCAAAAACAAGAACTAAGGGCTTTAATAATAAAAACAGTAGCAAGAAAGGCAAGGAGCCCAGACTCTCACTGGAACATACGTGGGTGATACAGGGATTGGGGGAAATGAAACCAAACTGCGTGGCGCCCCGCCGGGGAGCGGGGGTGGGAAAGCCCAGGCCTGCACTGTGGGAGAGGAAGCAGGAGGGAGGAACAGCTGGTGTGTGAAGAGAGACGGGGGCAAGTGGGGAGACCCTCAGCAGAGAGGTTGAAGCCAAGAACTGCGGTAAGGGAGCAAGGGGTTGAAGGCCACGTTTGCAGAAGGAAGAGTCAATAATTATAAAAATAATCTTTAGTGATTAAAAACACACATGAAGACTTTATCCAAGAGATCACATTAGAAGATGGATTTTACAGGATTGTGTAGAAAAAAATAGGAAGGGTCCACAAGAGGGCAGCGCTTGGTTACTTGCACATTAACCAGAAAACAGCTAGAGTGCCCACCAGGCGCCAGAGATCATTCTAATGTATCAATTCAATGCATAGGGGGCTGAATCAATCACAATGGCTGCCCTCGGAGATGTCCATTCTTAGCTCAAGCGTTGGAGTCTGATGCCACAGGTGTGTAATGGAGCTGTAGATCTGGAAGAGATAAGGAAATTTCGAGATGAGCTCTGAGATCAAGAGAAGTTTAGGGGAAGAGCTTGACCTGGGGAGTTAGATCCCAAAACATTAGCCATACGACCTAGTAACACAACAGGTGCTCAGTAAAGATCTGTGAGTTAAATGAATGGCTCCCACGTTCTGCTGTCTTCCTGATCTTGCTCCAAACCCAGACTGTTTTTTGTCTTGTTTTAATTTTTGTTTTTAATGTGTTTATTTATTTTTCAAGGAGAGAGAGACAGCACGAGTGAGAGAGGAGCAGAGAGAGAGGGAGACACAGAATCCAAAGCAAGCTCCAGGCTCTAAGCTGTCTGCACAGAGCCCGACGCGGGCTCGAACTCACAGACTGCGAGATCATGACCTGAGCCGAAGTCGGATGCCTAACCGGCTGAGCCACCCAGGCGCCCCAACCCTGCCTCATCTCCCTCTCTAGTCTATAGTCTCTAGCTGACTCTTCTCTCATTGCCTATGATCCACAGTGTAGACAGCCTTCATAACTGACTGCCTAGGGCAGGTTTCCAGCCAACTAGGAGCTACCAGGGGCAGGATCCCTGCCCAGGAGGCTCTGGGTCCCCAGGAGAGGGGCCTAGAGACCCAGCCTACCTGGAGACTGCTGCCAGCACTGCTCCCTCCTCCTCTGGCACAGGATGTACAAGAGGACAATGGTGAGAGCAAGGGTGATGGCCAGGAGGGATACCACAGGGACCGTAGCTGGTGTCCCAGATGTCGGTCCCACATTGTCTTCCAACTGCTTCTGCTTCTCCCCAGCCTCAGGCCCAGCCCCAAGCCCGAGGCCCACAGTGGGTGTAGCAGTTTCGTTGATGTGGGCGAGCTTTTCATCCGAGGACGGCGCTCCTGCTGGAAGTGTGGGTGCCTGGGTGGACCACACGGCAGGTGGCAGGTGCGTCTGGGCAGGGGAGCCCAGGTCTAAAGGTGCCGTTTCTGTGGGCTCAGGAACCTGGCTGCTGGGGGGAGGTGAGTGCTGCCGGGAGGCCGCGCTCCCAGCGTCCACATGTCCACATTCTGGAGAGGCAAGAAGTAAGGGATCAGGGCTCTGAGATGAGGGACAAGGTGAAGACGCAGAGGGAATAGTGGTACATCAAGGAGAACATCAAGGTAACAGCAGAAGGCCAGAAGAGGAAGGCAGAGGCAGAGGGGAAAGTGGGGGGCGAGGAAGTGAGCCGACCTCAACAGGGAACCACTGCAACAGGCATGCGCTCTGCGCTGGGAGGTAGAGCGACCCCAGGGGTGGGGGTGGGGGGACCCTGGCTCTGCTACAAAGCAGTTGTGTGACCTGTCCCTTGCCTCTCAGCCTCTCTGGGACTCCTTTCTTTCAGTCGTAAAGCAGGGATAATGTTAGTACCAACAGCCACAGTAGCTAGGAGGCTTAAACGCAATAATGTAGGTCTCTGGAGCCTAACGTACATGCTGAAATGATGTGAGGTCGTGCCTGCAGCAGACTTGGAAATGCATCGGAAAGTAAGGTGGGCCGATGGTGGATGGAAGGACGGACAGACAGATGGACACACGCTAAGGCAAATATGGCTTTCATGTTGGAAACCTGATATTGTAAAATATAAGCTATATTTATGCGTACAAACTACACAAAATGCATAAAATATGAATATATAAAAGCCACATACCGTAGAACCCAGGCCATGGGTATCTGGATGCTCGCTATACAGTTCTTTCAACTTTTGTGTATATCTTTAAATTTCCTTAATAAAGTCACAGTGAATGATGTTGGGGGAAGTGGGACGGAAGGGGCTTTGGCCGGCACCAGAAACCATAGAAAAGTGAGGTGTCACAGGAGAGGAGCTAGGTAAAGAAGACTGTAAGGGGGAGGACGCAGCCCTGGAAACAGATCTCAGGGAGGAGGGGGGAAAGCTCGTACCTCTGAGATCAAAGCAGTTCATCAGTTCTTGAACCCATTGGTCTCTGCTGCCCCCACACACACTCCGGGCAGGTAGCTGGAACCTGCCGAGAAAAGGCGGGGTCTCACAAGCTGCACCCCTTATCCCAACCCTTTCCTCATTCCAAAGATGTGAGGTCATCACCAACAGCAAGTGAGACCTTTTTCCCAGAACAGGAAATTCCCACGTACGTAAGACAGGGAAACAAAGCTGTGGACAATGTGGAGCAAACATAACCCAGAGAGGGGGCTCCCAGGGGTTCCAGTTTGACCAGAGGGGGTCCTCGCGCCACCCAGAGGCGCTGCCCTCCCCAGCGGTCAGTGAGCTTACCGGATGTAGGAGTTACAGCGATGATACACTTTCAGGTGCTTTCGGAGATGTGCCAGTAACTGACGCTTTGGAGGGGAGCCGGAAGAAATTGTTGTCCCGCAGTAACAGCTGCCAGTGACGCTGCCCTCGTTGCCAACGCCTGAGCGGGACAGGACAGAGGTAGTCGGCACAGGTTCCCGGCCGGAGGGGCTCCCCCGGCTGCCACCGAAGCTCCAACCCACTGCTCCGTTGCAGCCTCTTCGCTAGATCCCGGGATCTGACCACCGGGCACAACCCACCCATCACACCGCCAAACGCGTCCCTGATCGTCCCCCAGCCCAGGCGTCCCCCAGCCTGTCCCCAACCTCAGGCAGCTGGCCCCCTCACTGCCCCGGCGGCCTGGGGACCCGGGCTCGGCACTTACTTACCCACCACAACCCTGCGGCCCTCGGCGCCCCCCTCCCATCCCGTCCCGTTCCCGGACTCGGGAGTCTGGGCGCCACCCCGCTCCGGACGAACCTGGCCGAGGCAGCAGCTCCAGCAGGAGGAGGAGAGCTAGGGACCGGAGTCCCCAGGGCCGCCTCATGTCGGGGACCCGGCGGCACCGGAGCGCGGCGTCCAAAGAGTTCCTCCCGGTCCCGTGGGCGCGAGCCCGGGTCGGGGGGCTGCGC